CTGCTCCTTTCTTCTTCTTTACAAATTAAATCAATTATTTTCCTTCAAGGAAACTCAACCTCTGTAAGGATTATGATACCTCAGTAAATCTCCAAGGAATGAAGTTAGCCAGGTTGTTACATCTTTAGTGAGGTTGAAGTAATGGGTACAAATTAGGCAATTATTTTACAGGAGGCGATCTTCTCTCTTTCGCTCTTTCCCCCTCCCAGGAAGCTAATTCATCTTGATTTTGCTTTACGGGGGCAGAACAAAATGGGAGCGAAGGGGGAGAGAGACGGCATTCACAGGAGCGTGGGGACGACAGGGGAAGGCACCTAAGCGGGCACCTCGGTGCCTGCCCGTGACGTCTGGCCAAGCCAAGGCAGCTGCCGCATCCCCCCTGCCACTGTAGCACCGTCATTTAGCAAAGCCTTGTTAACTCTTTGATCTGGAGCCAGCGAGGTGTGCGCACCGCCCAGTACATGAACGGCAAGGAAGGGGTTAAAAGGCAACCAGCCGCTAATTAGCCTGCGGCTGCGCTAGCTGAGGAACAGCGTAGTACCTGTGGGTCCGGGATGCCAGAGAAGGAGGCAGCGGCAGCGCTGATTTTGGAGGGCAGCGGCAGCAATGGGCAGGGGGGAGGGGGAGCAGGGGAGGGGCCCCATAAAACCAGCAGGAAGGCCGGGCCCCGTGGGCCCCACACAGGCTATGGGCCTGCCCCCAGAAAAGGCCGTTGGATCCAACCCAATGGGGACATTTAATGAAGTTGATGGGAAATAGATTCAGGAGGATTCAGTTGATGGGAAATAGATTAGTTGCACTTTCCTGATGGAACAAGCTCCCACTTGAGATCAAGGTCCTGCGGGATCTGTTGCAGTTCTGCAGGGCCTACAAAATGGAGCTGTTCCGCTGGGCTTTCGGGTTGAGGCGGCGGACATCCAAATCTATCTCTGGCCTCCCCTGCTGAAAACGCTCCCGACCAGCCAAAACTGAACTTTGCTGTTGAGGCACTGTTCTTTCTATTGTCTGATCACTGTTTTAAATTGTTTAATTTATATTTGTTATTGTCATGACTTGTGTGACCTTGTGATCCGCCCTGAGCCCACTTGCAGGGAGGGTGGGATAGAAATTGAATTAAATAAATAAATTTCCACCACCACCATTGATTCAATCTGTATCTAATCTTTTTTAAAACGGTCATAGACCAGCACAAGTCACAGTTCACACAGATTACAATAAAATATAGGTATGACACAGTGGGTAAACGATAATTAAATAAGTTACAGTGGCTAAACAATAATTAAAGAAGTGAATAAGTACAATTATTGTTAGAATTCTTCAGTATGCAAAACTTTCTGACAGATGTCGTAAGCTGCTGCACAAAACTTTGCACTAAGAGCTGAAACCTGCGAGTTTTCATCTTTAAGTAACATTCCAGCATACACAGTCAATCAGTGTGGCATTCTCTGCCGCAATATGGGGGTGACTACCTCAGATGGCTTTAAAGATAGATTAGACAAGTTCATGGAAGACCAATCCTCAAGGAACTGTTAGCCATGGTCACTAAATGGGAGCTCCATTCTCTCAGGCAGTTAGCTAGTACCGGGAGGAAACGGTGGAGGAAGGCCTTTGGCCATTCTTGAAGCCCTTCTAGGACTTATCTGGTTAGCCACTATGTGAAACAGGATTGGCTGAACCGCTGTCCTCTTAGCAGCCATTTTTATAAAGTGGACCACAATAGAAGAATGCTCTCCACTGTGAACGCTCTCCACCATTGTTTTTTTGGCAATATCTCAAGCTAGGGAAAGCTGGCACTGAAGGCTTTGACAACACAGTCCTGAGGCTAGTCTGTAGACTACTTAGCATGGCAACTAAGGTACAAGTAGACAAAATGGCACCCTCAAGGGCAAACCAAGAATGCCACAGCCATTTTACCACAGGAATGATCTTGCTTTAAAAAAGGTGTGGGGCTCAGTCATTCTCAGGACCATGGCAGGTGGGGAGGAGAAGCTAATCTCTCCCCCAGAACCATTTTTCAAGACCCCAAACCCTGAGGCATGCTAGTGTAAAGGAGGTAAACCAACAATGCGCTGGCATGTCAAGCTGTGAGACCCTCAGGTATCCAATTTCTGTTCTCCTTATCTAGCGATGCAGACCATTAGGGAAACACATGGTTGTGTGATCTGAATTTGGGTCTTGGAGATAAAGCCGGTTATCTATTGCTCAAGCGTACACAGTAAATATTGTTTTGTTGCATAGGGTAAACCAGACTGACAAAAGGACTTCAGATTTGTAGGATAAATAGCAATGGGATGATAATGTTCAGTGTTTTACAGTGTTGCACTTTCATATGTGTTCCTCAGCACCCTGACCCGGATGGTTCTGGATAGCTCAGCCTCATCAGATATTGGAAGCTAAGCGGGGTCGTCCCTGATTAGTACTTGGATGGGAGACCACCAAGGAACTCCAGGATTGCTATGCAGAGGTAGGTAATGGCAAACCACCACTGCTCATCTCTTGAGCTGAAAACACTACAGGGTTAGAGTTAGGGTTAAGGTCATCGTATGTTAGGTGCGAGTTGACAGTACTTCGATTGCCACCAGAGGTGAGCAGAGGTCCATCAGTGGCTATTAGCCACAAGGTATAGATAGGGACTCTGGGGCAAGTGATGCTCTGTAATATTGGTGCTTGGGGGGGGTCAACAGTGGGAGGGCGTCTAATGTCCTGGCCTCACTGGTGGACCTCCTGATGGCACTGGTATTTCTGGCCACTGTGTGATACAGTGTTGGACTGGATGGGCCTTTGGCCTGATCCAACATTGGCATCTCTTATGTTCTTATGTTCTTATTTTCACCATGTATTCCTCAAAGCGTTGAATGCAATCCATAAGATTGGATTTAAAGGTGCCCTTCATGGACAGAGCCCCATGGTTTGGATAGAGCACAATAGTAGGGAAAAATGAATGTTCTGTTCCCCAAGGGAAGTTGTAAAAATTGGATTATTAGATATGACCGACC